TCCCCCCCCCCCATTTGAACATGCTACTACTGACAGCCATTACCAGTAGTTCAGATGTAGTACAGTAGTACAGATGAATGTACCTTGAAGCTTATGGATCAAACAACTTTGAGACATATCTAAACTTTTAAAATTATTATTTTAGAAGAAAATAAGCACAAATATGCTTGCTTTTGTAAAGTATCTTTTTTTATAGTTTTAAATTCATAATGCTGTTCTTGTAGTCATTGTTGTGTGTCGAGATTGCAGAATTAAATACATATTTTTCAGAAAAATATAGCTGAAATGACAGAGGGCGCCCTGTGGTCCACAGTTTTGGTTAAGATGGTGAGGAAGCTAAAGCTGACTAGGAAAGAGAGAGAATAGAACAGTTAAGAAATCTGTTTTGATGTATGTCACCTGGACTTGAGAGTATTTGGATTATCTGAAATTCAGAATTGTGTGCCCTATTTCTTATCCAGTGTTCTATATTTGACTTCTAATTTGAACAGAGAGGAAACATCAGCACAGCCTGACAATTAGCGGCATTGCTTACTAATGAGACCTGGTAACTAAATATGGGAGCCTGCCTTTTTTTCCTCTAGTAGAAAGCTGAAACAGTCTTAGCTGAAAGCAGCAGGTGCTGGTCTTGGGGAGTCTGTGCTGTTTATTATTGCTTTGCAGTGGAGATCTGCTCTGAGTTGAGGGCTTATGTTTTGTTTTATTCAAACCTGTTGGACATCATCTAGGAGCAGAGCAGAAAAAGTTTTGTATTTATTATCTATTCTAGTAGTTGCTACCTCCCAGCTGAAAACTTACCTGTGTCCTGTTTGGGCCCACTAGCAGTTTAGGCCCAGTTTAGGATTTTTGCATGTTACATTTGCTACATATTTTTTGCCTGATTACCTGTCTTGTATATACTTTTGTTCTAGTTGGATAATTTCTGACAGATTAAGAAGGAACTGAGATCATAATAAGCAAAAAAAGTGAAGTATAAATACTGTAATACAAGCATTCTTTATAAATCCATCTTATTATTTTTCTAGACATGACAACACCACAGCAGAAAACCAGAGTAAGGATTTCTGAATCATGTTTTGAAGTTGTTCTTTTATGAACTTTTGTGTGCTAAAAATGAGATTAAAAACTTTCAAACAAATTTTGAGGTGGTATTCTTTGTATTGGTGCATCACAGAATTAGGAGTAAGATATAAAAGCTGAGCAAAGGCCAGCAAATTTCTTTCAGTCTCTAGAGACTGATGATTTTGTCTTTCTTTGCTTTGACATATGGATCATGTTTGAACATTTTCTTTTTAATCAATGGCTAATATTTTTATGCTATTTCTCCTTTCTCCTTAGTTTCTCTAGTATGTTACATTCACGTCACAGACCTTCCCTCTTCCGTAGTGTTACACCATCCTGAAATTATGTAGTGTATTTATATTGCAACATTATTGGTGTGGTTCCTGTCAGTGAGTGTTTTAATATCCCCAGTGTATAAGTCCTTTTAACAGCTATAAAAATGCCGCAAAATTGGATTTGTAAGAGCCGGCTTTGTACCAGAGCACAGTGGATCCCTGTGTATTGTAATGAAATGGAAGTTCCTTTTCTTTCCTCCTAATGCCCTGGCAGCTCAAAGTTAAAATGAGGATTATACTGTCTAACTACAACTGCTTGTATAATAAGCAGAGATTAACACTGTTAATTCCCCTCAGGGAAATGTTCTGCTGCTGCTCTAGATGTCCTGGCTAATGTATTTCGTGATGAACTTCTGCCACACATCTTGCCCCTTTTGAAGGAATTGCTCTTCCATCCCGAATGGGTTGTTAAAGAATCTGGTATCCTTGTTCTTGGAGCAATTGCTGAAGGTAAGGCAACAGTGCATATCAGGTTGCTGAATTTTGATTGGTTCTAAAGCAGCTCTGTGATTCCTTCTAGGTGAATTTACTTGTGCAAACAAGTATATGTCCTTAGCTGATTGGGTTTTGGTGATTAATCACTACATCTACTAGTTGGTGACTGCAGTTATTTGTTTTTCATTTTCAAATCTATGCATGTTTTGGAGGCTAAATAACTTGGATAATTTCTTTTATTCCTTCCTTTCTTAACTCTGCAGCATATATTTATTGGTCTCTCATGAAGTACTATCTTGATTTGATATAAGAGGAATATTTAATAAATTTGAGCCCTACATTTCATTCAGTGTTTTCAGAAATGGAGAAGACCGGTCCTGTGACTTCAGTGCCCTGAGCTGCTTTCCGTAGATGGTTCTCTGATTTAAATGTGATAACTTCCATTTCTTTGTATTTACTCACAGGCTTGGCTTTTTGCCTGTATTTCCAGCATCTCCGTCCATTTTGCAAACTGAAGGAATATGTTTGGGTCCATGCCTGGATTATCTATCTTT